GAGTAAACACTTACCCTACAGCAGGTTCTCGTGAGTAGACACTTACCCTACAGCGGGTTCTTGTGAGTAAACACTTACCCTACAGCAGGTTCTCATGAGTAAACACTTACCCTACAGCAGGTTCTCGTGAGTAGACACTTACCCTACAGCGGGTTCTCGTGATTAAACACTTACCCTACAGCGGGTTCTCGTGATTAAACACTTACCCTACAGCGGGTTCTCGTGATTAAACACTTACCCTACAGCGGGTTCTCGTGAATTGTTGTTAGAGGCTGTGGATAATTCTCTCGTATTGTTAGTTCCATTGTTTACATTAAAAACAGGCGGCTTTATCAGGGGAGCATTCTGAGTTCTTCTTGTTACTGGCTGTTGAAGTAAAATATTCAAGTTTATAAAGATAATTTTTTTTTAAACAAGCAAAGATTCCTTTTACCAATGAAAACAGGTTAAACATTCTAAAGAGTTTGATTTCAAGTCGCAGATAATAATATAACCAGTCACTTTTCCCCTGCAGCTTGTGGGGTGAAGTTTTATTTACCTTTTTGGGTGCCTGATGGTCTGTCTGGCAGTTGACAGGAGGGGAAGGGGTTAAAAAAGGTAACTCAGCACACGGCCGATCAGCTGACGGAGTAATAGGGAGAAGACCAAAACTACAAAATAATCAAGACATATTTTCCTCTTACACATGCACAAACAGGTATGAATCGTCAGTAACATTTACTTGCTAAGAAAATACTTCATCAGATCAGATCACTCTTACCTAGGAGTGAGAGGACTATGGAACAGTGTCTTTTGAACAGACTGATCACTGACCAGCACATTTTCTGTACGAGGTTTCACTTTCTTTTTCGTCCTTGGGCAACCAAAGATATTGGCAGGTGCCTCCTCCAGGAAGTTCTCAGGGGTAACTGACACCTGGGAGAGGGTGTGTGGCTGGGGCTGGGGGGTCTAGAAAATACAATAACCATCTTAATAAGTAAGAGACATGTATTTTTCTTCAAACAATGGTGAGTCTACAATAGGTGCCGAGACGGAGTAGTTTCTACATGTAAATTGATGACAATACAGGTATGCCATACCTCCAGGACATTTGTGTCCACTTCAGTACAGGCCTGGGAGGTTTCTGACACCGGAGTAAGGACCTCCGTGACCTTGAGAATGGGGTTAGGAGCCTTGACCGTCGTGGGCATGGTCACTACACTGGGCACTTCTGTCAACTGCATGACGGGCGTGGACTGACTCTGGGCAGGAACTTGAAAGACTTGACTTGGATCAGACTTGTCACCTGTCCAGTGAAAGAAAATTCACAGTCAATGTTTTTAATTTATTTCCCATTTATTTGACAAAACTTTGCAATTTTTCTTTTAATCTATCAAAAGTTTTTGAAGCCTTATATTTATGATTTAAAGACATGACACAGATTAAGATTTTCTACCATTTTTTCACTCACAAATTTGGTATATCTTGATTATTATTCATGATTAAGATTTATGCATGATCTTTCACTTTATTCAACAATATTCTTAAAATTTTCTGAGTGAAAGAATTTGTGGTATTAGAGTAGGTTAACTTGCTTTTAAAGGTTTAGTCCTGAGGCTTACCTAGTGAACATAACCTTTCAAAAGCTGACCACAACAGGGGGTTTAACTTGAGAGACTTCTTATAACATTCCACAGCTTTTGAAATTCTCTCTGTTTTACTGAAACAAATTAGGATTCATGAGTGTAATTTCTTTTAAATAATTGATAAAAGAGAAATTAAACAGAATGTCCTGAGAGTATTTTGTCCAATTACCTAAAAATAGCACCAAGGATAGAGAGAGCATGACAGTACATGCTCCTTAACTCCACTTACCTAAAAATAGCACCAAGGATAGCGAGAGCATAACAGTACATGCTCCTTAACTCCACTTACCTAAAAATAGCACCAAGGATAGAGAGAGCGTGACAGTACATGCTCCTTAACTCCACTTAATACCTAAAAATAGCACCAAGGATAGAGAGGGTGTGACAGGACATGCTCCTTAACTCCACTTAATACCTAAAAATAGCACCAAGGATAGAGAGGGTGTGACAGGACATGCTCCTTAACTCCACTTAATACCTAAAAATAGCACCAAGGATAGAGAGGGCGTAACAGTACATGCTCCTTAACTCCACTTAATACCTAAAAATAGCACCAAGGATAGAGAGGGTGTGACAGGACATGCTCCTTAACTCCACTTAATACCTAAAAATAGCACCAAGGATAGAGAGAGCGTGACAGTACATGCTCCTTAACTCCACTTAATACCTAAAAATAGCACCAAGGATAGAGAGAGCGTGACAGTACATGCTCCTTAACTCCACTTAATACCTAAAAATAGCAACCAAGGATAGAGAGGGTGTGACAGGACATGCTCCCAAACTCCACTTACCTAAAAATAGCACCAAGGATAGAGAGGGTGTGACAGGACATGCTCCTTAACTCCACTTACCTAAAAATAGCACCAAGGATAGAGAGGGTGTGACAGGACATGCTCCCAAACTCTGCCTCTATCTCCTCCACACTCTTAGATTTAGAAAATATATTTCCTGTTAAAACTTCCTCAGCCTCAGATAACCTGAAAATTGTCAGGATACAATTTACACATTTAAATGATAATTATCATAAAAAATAAAATTGTGCTAATTCTATGTAATATGTACATTCCTGTCACCTCTTTTTCTTCAGGAAAATAGTAGACATATTTATGATGCCTTGTGCAGTCATACTTTTTTTTAACTATCAACTGCTTAATATACTGATATAACTCATGCACTAAATGAAATAATGAGTATACTGTAAATTGAATTATTTTTGTGGTCATATTTTCAAGGTTGAAAGGGGTGAGGTGGGGTTGGGATATGGGGATTGGTTCATGAGGACTTCAAATCTGATACATGTACTGTAATATGGAATTTTAACTTTTGGAAAATTACACACTCTTGAGATAAGTGACTCACAGATTCATACTTATCTATAAACAAAATAAGATACTTAAAATAATGAATAAAAACACGAAAAACTTAAGTCAAGCTTTAGGCATTTTGTTCTAACTTCAGAAGCTTTACAAAATACTTAAAATAAAGAAAAACACGAAAATCTTTAGTAAAGTTTTAGGCCTACATAAGCAGATGGTTAAAGGCAGAGATTTTTTACCGGGTGGTAAATTCCAGGTGAGGGAGGGGCTTGTTTTGTACAGATGTGATTGCCTTTGGGGCTAGTAGTATACCTGTGGTCATCCGTCTCCTAATCCCTATACACAGGAAGTTATTAATACACTGTGAAATACCCCAGGTGTCAAACTTTACCAGTGTTGGGGATTTTGAGACAATTTTAAAGTTAGTAATAAAAAGGTAAATACACATGGTAAATAACTTACTTTCCAACATCCATACAACAGCGAGCCATGAGGTATTTACACTGGGGGGTGGGGCAGCCTTGTTTCTGGAGTAAGCCATAGGTCTGCATTAACTGACCGGCTCTGTAGTAACATGTGGCCAGCAAGTATAGGGCTTCATTGTTTGATACTGTGATGTCAGAAAACATACATTAGATTTCAATCGATACTCAATATAACATTCTCTGAATATTAATACATGTAGTACATTGGCTATTTGAATACACAAAAATGTGTTTTGAAATTCATTGAAATGATTAACAAAACTGTAAATTGTATAGAAATGTGTATCTTTCAATAAAACAGATTATTTATTTAATTCCACTTAATTCAGATCTAATTTCCAACTCTAAAAAAAACAGTATTAACCAATCCAATAGAATTTACGTACTTTAAAACTTATATATATTTTTTAAATTCTAATTTATAACCATCGTGTACAATCACAACAACATGTACATTGTTAAACAGTTTACAATTTGTAAGCTGAAAATGTTCTTTGTAAACATATTATTCACCAATTGTAGAAAAACATGTTATTACATAAAGGTATTTATTATCCACCTTTCTGTATCTCTATATCCAGTAACTGAGCAAGGCTTACAGATGCTATTATAACAGACTAAGTTTTACAATATGATGTGTCATGTTTTGTTCTCTCTCTCTTTTTTATTCTTACATTATTCAGACCCCACATGAAAGATCAGTTTTGTTATAAAAGAATCAATAATTATACACGACTTACATGTACATAACAAATATAACAAACAGAATCCATACCTTCAGCATACAGTCTCTCTGCCAGGAATATTGCATCAGCGTAGGCATAATGATTTAATGAATCCCATATAGCAGCCTACAAAACAAATCAGACCTGTTACATTATATTTACATTGTAATATACATAGTTACAGGGGCTGACAAATAGATTTTTAACGTACTTGTCCAAGGGCAAGTACATTGTCAAAATTCATTTTCCCTTCCTGAATTTTTCTTGCCCTACCATGTTGCATTTATAAATACTATTATAAAAAGTATTTCAAAAAGGAGGAAGACAAATACTGAGAAGATCATACTAGCCCCTTTGCCCAGCTTCAGATCTATGGCTTACGTATTGATTTTATTTTTGACAAGTCACTTGCCCACGGACAAGTAGCTGATAAAATTTCACTTGCTCAACTCTAAAATTCACTAGCCCTGGGCGTTGGGCAATGGGATTTGTCATCCCCTGTAGTTAATTACTGGTATAATGAATTCAATGGAAAAATTGTTTTATGATGCTGAAATATGACTTCAACTTCCTAACCTAAAATAATGTAGTACAATATATCAAACTTCAGGCTGAAGAATTAGATGGGGACATTAAAAGAGTAGATGGGGATCTGGGGTTCTTCTCCTAACAGGGAGGTGAGGAGGAATAAAAAAGTACCTCATTATATGTAGAAGTATTTCCTGGGTTTTAATTGCCTATCAATGCCCTTTTCACATTTCGGCGAATGTATAACGGGCAAAATCAAAGAATACTGTATAATTTCTTAAACAGAACTGTAACTGGGCAAATTTAAAGCTGGGCAAAATTGTTAGCAAGTGTAAAAGGGCAAATCTAACATGGGGTAAAAATAACTCTGTATACAGTACTTAGTTTACAACAATTGTAATTTTGAATATATGATGTTAATAGGAAATGTATATAAAGAACAATATCTGATTAATAATTACAAGTTTATAACACGGACCCTACAAAACCACTAGTGGACTATCCCCTTGCAAAGAGCATATTCCCAGTGCAAATGATGTCACTTCTATTTCAGACAAGACATAACACACTCACAAACACACATACATGATTGCATTACTACATCCCCTCCAACTCTGTTACATGGTGGGATAATAACATTATCATTATATCTTTTGGTGGCCAACTCCTGAGATTGAGAATGCTAATGCCTTCATGGCAAAATACAATGTAATTAAGACATTTACGGAACCTGACCATTGTTTGAATCTTCCATTGAATCCACATCATTAACACTGTTCCAACCCTCAAAACGTTTTCTAGAACCTGATTTGCTTCAATGTGAGTTCCAAATAACAACATGGCGTGACATAAAAATTGTCAACAAAAGATGAAATATTACTTGCATTTGTGAGTGGGTGATTGGTTATTTTCAACCCTGGTGTGCTCACTTTATTCAATCATTTTTTGAAAGCAGTTTTTTTCATCCATTTTGGGAGAACCATAGCAATATAATACTGAGTCTTTAAAACACACACCTGGGATTATACGTTATTAATTAAAAGAAAACCCATTTCCTCAATTTACCTGTGATTCTGGTTCCTAAAAGTGCTGGTTATTATAGGTATTACCAGTCATATTTTTGGTATAGATGCTATTTTAAACATTTCTCTTTACTAAGCATTACAGTTTGTGATGCTTCTATTGATGTAATCATGTAACCTATAGCAACCTTTTTTTGTGTTTTGTAAATAACTACATGTACATTGTACTTTAGGCTTACTGTTAGACTTGCTCAAGTTTCTCTGATGTATAGATTTTAAATTTGGACAACAAACATGATATGAATGAAAAGAATATGGCCTTTAAGTCTAATTTTATTTAATGTCAAAGCATGCTGAAAGCAGGCAAGTATTCAGCACTGATTTACTTATATGACAAGAAATTAGTTCTGTGATAGGGTATCTGCTGTGCACTGCAATCTTGTCTTCATTAACAATGAATGACGTTTTGGATACACTTAGAATCCGGTTTCATTCTTACATGGGACAAAGCATTGAACAAATAAATATATTTAGTGCATTTATGTATTAGAGATATTTTGATTATATACAGCTACTGTTAATTATGTTTTACGAGACTCAAACAATATCGATTCCTTTGACATCTCTATGAAAGTTAAAGAATTTTAGTAATATATGCAGTGATGGGACTTTAACAGAAATGAATTACTATTTTTCATATAATAAATCTAATATAAACCGTGAATTATGCAGTAGAATACCTTAACTGGCTCCAATAACAACATTTTCACTTGTTACTGCTACAATCCGCCATTTATTATGGGAACTTCCGAATAAACGTCACGTGACTTTCATAACAGTGAAAACCAACTCGGACGGATTTGCACTTATCGGTATGACAGGTAACTAGACAACGAGACGGAGTGACGACCGTTATATGGTGCCACGTTGCATTGATTATCTATTTGTGACATTTGAGAAAAGATAATATGAAGAAAGGAAAATCACTGACGCGCATCAACCAATTTTTCTTTCAAATTACGAAGTTTTTCTTCAATAAATAATTGATTAAAAAATCAATCAATCAAGTCTGTTAACAACATAATACATTATTAACATAGCAATATTCAAGGTTCATATCAATGATTATTGAAGCAATATATACAAAAATAAATATATTTAAAACTAAAAGCTGTTTTGAGTGCACTTAAAAAAAACAATGGGCAAAATTTTAATCCATGTTTTCAGTTTATAGATCTATATATATTCACGAATCCAGAAGATACTATTTATGTCAACATTTAATAAAGATGTATATGTGCGGATCTAGAGCGGGGGGGGGGGGGGGGGGGGTCCGGACTCCTCTGGAATTTGAAGTTATTAAATTTATGCACGAAATCAAAAGTGGTCTTGGACCCCCCCCCCCCCCCCCCCCCCCCCACCCACCCATTCCCTCGAAAATGCGGATCTGTGGTAAGCTAGTATGAAAAATCATAGGTATGAAACATTGATTGAGTTTCTGAATGACAATATCTATGTGGTTTTTGGAGACCATGTCTTCCAAAATTTCTTTTCGAATACCCATGCATGTGTACCAATTACGCCCCGTTATTAGGAGACATTTTTTGTATTCATATGGAGCAGAATTTACCAAAATCATATACGTAAAAAAAAGAAAACCTTGTGTGGCCTTCAATCAGACAATCAGATCGTTGAAGACGAATTGTCCATCAACGATGGTCATTTCCAATTCTTATGTTGATACGATTATGGCGATATCCTGGTGAACTTGAAATAAAAGATACTAAGGAATCTGATACATCTAACTGTTTCATGTTTGGTTATATATTTCTTATATTATGTTATGATACGATATATCCCGGTGAGCATGAGATTAAAGATACTCATGGGCGAGTTACTGAAAAAATAATATATCAGCAGTCTCGTCTGAAGTCATCATTTCGTAAGTTCCATGGTCGATACAATGACCCTGTCAGCAAATACAATTTACCTTTAAGTCAAATTAATGTTGACTGATGTTTTTCATACTATAATTGACTAATTGTAATTGTGAGACCATAATATTACACACTGAATTGACGACAGATTTTCTGTTATTTTCTGAGTATCACAAGGAGCACAGGCGGGTGTGACCGGTCGGTACGGGATGCTCATTCCTCCATGGCACCTGATCCCACCTCTGATGTTTTGGAAGTCCGTGTTTGCTCTGCTCCAAAGTTGTATTGTTTAATGGACTTTTGAGCTTGGATACTGTTCGTTATCTCCATGTATTTCATTTTTCTACCATAAAAGGAAGTTTCCCCTCCCAGGGACTTATATACTGTACACAGGTTCCCCTTTCGAAATCTGTATTTTGAAGATGTATTTTAGAATTTTTATTTATTTATCTTATAGGCCTACTTGTCAAAGATTTTTCAATTAAGCTGTTATTTATTTATAACCCAAATCCTTCGGTTCAAAAACGATATTACTTGCCTTATAATAAAAATTGCAGCTTTTGAAAGCACACTTCCGGAACTTGATGTCTTCGC